GAGAGAGAGAGAGAGAGAGAGAGAGAGAGAGAGAGAGAGAGAGAGAGAGAGAGAGAGAGATAATCAAACCAGATCTATTGTGTGTAACAAAAGTATTCTTCTTCATCTCTCTTTCTCTCTCTCTCTCTCTCTCTCTCTGGTTCTCTCTGGTTCTCTCTGTTCTTATTCAGCGACACAACAGCATAGGTTTGCTACTAATTTACCTTTTGCTAAGCTGGATGGGGATTTTTGTGCGAATCTCTTCGACAATGTGTTATGCAGATTAGACTGGCCATTGCATTGCCTCTCCGATTGATGAATGGTGATAGCGTTCAACTTGTTCGAAACACATTTATGAAGCCGATCATTTTATTGGCTGTTTTCAACTGGACATTCTTCGTTCTTCATTGAATCGTTTGATTGATCAACAGTCATTCACCCATCCCAATCGTGGTGAATGGTCGGTTTAATTTTTCGTTCGACTTGATTTTTCATTGTTTAGTCGATCTGAACAACAATCATAGCACATAATTACACAAGGTCTTTTGATGAGCTCAACGTACAGAATTTTTTTAAAATGAAAATGCCGTCAGCGCTTCTTCTTGACGAGAAATAAAACCATTATGCTCGAATCAATAATTATTTTAAGTAAGATTTTAGTCACATCTTCTCTCCTTCGTTAATCATCATTTTTAATTCATATCCGAAACCAGTAGATTCTACTTAAGAATTAGTCCAAATAAAAATACGACAAAATCGTGGAATCGATGCATAAAATAGAAAATACTCAAAGTTCTTACCGGTTACGGACTAACCAAAATTAGTGCACAGGCGTCCACTACGACGTTTTTGTTAGCGGTCCTCGCGTCCTCGAAGATTTTCCAAACTAATCAAAATGTTCTAATTTTTTGCCGGGTAAAATTTAAAAAAAGATTAAAAAAAACCGGTAAAATATGAGAAAAAAACGAAATCAAAAATTCTTCAAGATGAATAGCTCCATTTTGAATTTTACATTGTTTCGTTTATGTCAGCTTCCTTGGACTTGATATTAGCGACTCAAATATAAATGTGGAATATTTCACTGTTTTTGACTATAAAAAAATTATTTATCTGACAGGAAGGTCGTTGCCGTTTTCATTCTGTTAATTCTGCACACGCAAATTCCCCAAGAATCAAAAATAAACTGTCTTCATCAGAAAAAACTGACGACAGTTCTTCCTAGAAAGTATACAGTAAGCGATAATGAATATAAATCATTCCAGATCAGATAAATTCAGTATCCTACTGATTGGATAAGCTTTAGTAATACAATTCTCATGAAAGTGTCGCTGAAAATAGCAGGTGGAAATACTTCGCTTGATAGAATGATTGTTTATCAAAATAAAAAAAATTGGATCGGCAAATTCAACGAAAAACATGAAATATTTATATCTTCTAACTTATCAGTTTGGATTGTATTTCTCTTATTTCGTCATTAAATTTCGTTTTAAATAAAATGTTGAACAAAAAAATGTATTCGTTTTCCGCGAGGGAAATTTGTGCACATTACTAGCTCAGAATATTGCGACTTGTTTTTTTAAACAACCTAGCACAATCTTAGGTCAAAAGTTGTTGTCTACCACAAATACTGTAAATAACAGGTTGAAATTGTGCGTCAATTTCATGGAAAACCTAAATCAAGAACAAAAACCAAAATTCGACAGATTCTGCGAAATATTTGCAAATTCAGAGATTGTCCAAACCAACAACAGTTTTAAAAAAAAAATAACGAGCGAAGACTTGCACAAACAACAACTGAGGATTTTTACCCCCTTGGTTAAAAAAAAAATCAAAACTTTTTTCCGCTTGAAACAAACTGTGGATTAAACATCCATTGGCTCCAAAGATGTCATTGGCTGAACTCTTTCTTATCTTACGTAACATTTTTGGCCGTACAGTTTGTTCACCGTCTGAATTCTAGACTGACATCAACAAATGAACAGTTGACCAAAAGCGTTTTAAATTGCGGTAGCACCAAGCGCACAACAGACAATTTTCAGAATTGTCAGCTGTAAACATATGTAATCTAACAGTAAGTTGTGTCAAAAATGTCCAAACGCGACATAAAACACCGCTTTTTTCCACATCGATTCGGTCCACATCAGTGCCGAGTTAACCAAATTTGGTGCCCGAGGCAAAAATGATTTTGGTGCCCCTTGCAATTTTTTCCCGTTATATATAGGGGGAGTATGTGTAAGTTGACCCACTTTGTAAGTTGACCCACCCCGCCGATTTTGTATTTTGACCGACAAATCGTCAATTTGGCTAGTCTCAATCGATTTAGAAACGTCAAAAACCAATATAAAAGTAGTTTCCAAGAGTGAATACGCTTCTTAAACGGCTCGGATCGGCTCATGAAAAAATTTTGCAAAAAAAAAGCTATTTTTATAAAAACTAAATTTTTTCGGACCATCATCAACTAGACAATTTTAAAGATATCAGCAAAGCCAGTATAAGCTTTCTTTACTAGTTTTTCGTATATTTTCATAATCCGAAGTCATTTCACAAATATCATTACATAGCGAAATTCTTTCCGTGCATATTGAAATGTCGACCAATGTTGTAAGTTGACCCACCCGAAAAATGAGACAACTATTCAGCGTAAGCACTCAATATACGAGATTCATTGAATTTTAATGAATTTCCAATCGTTTTTAGACTTGAAAAACACGAAAAAAAATCCATGAAATATGAATAAATAGAGAATATATATTTTTTTACAATTTCTATATTTTTCTACATTTTTTCATTATTTTTCGTAGTTGTAAAGACCAAAAACGATTGAAAATCCAACAAAATTCAATGAATTTCATATATTGAGTGTTTATACTGCATGTTTTTCAAAAAAAAATAGGGTGGGTCAACTTACAAAGAAAAAATTTTGTTGCCAAAAATCAGACCTCTTAGAGAATTGACCGAAATATTTTGTTTTTACAACCATAGCTAATGAATTTCCCCATCAAATTGTAGCTTTTTCGGCTCTCTTTCCAATGATATATCAAGTGTGCATTTATCTTTATTCCATAAAAAGTTATGACTAAAATGATTAGTGCGGGTCAACCTACACATAATTCCCCTACAAATAATTATTGATAAAATGAACGTACATATCGAATGCGAGAGGCAGCGAGCAATTTTTTTTTTAGAAATACCATTTTTTGGGGGGGTAAACCAAAAATCGTCCTAAAACATACAAAAACCGTACTAAATTTTCCGAAAATCGTACTCAACTTTCCGAAAATCCTACTAAATTTTCCGAAAATCGTACTAAAGTTTCACAAAAATCGTACTAAAAAATCACACAAACTACGTGAAAAGTTACAAAAATCGTACTAATTATTTTTCCAAAAATCGTACTAAACTTTCCGAAAATCGTACTAAATTTTCCGAAAATCGTACTAACTTTTCACACAAATTTCATCTGTTTTTTTACCCATAAGACCATGTCAACTCATTTTTTTCCAACTTGAAATAGGTGTCATTTGATAGCTGGCCCCAAACTCTTTCCAACGATACCCAAAAGTCTGGAATTGATTGACTGGTTTTGGCACAGTGACCATTGGAAGGGAAGCCATTTTTTGATTTTTCAAAGGCCGGTCAAGGCTTAGATGGCCCGTGTACTATGGCAGTTTGATACAATCCACGCCTAGAGAGCCAATGTAGTTTTTCACTCACTCAAAACGCAGTGGAAATTAAAGCCGTTTTTTTATTTTGCAAAGGCCGGCCAAGGATGGTACAAATCAAAAAGTGGCGGAACAAAAAAGTCTAAATTTTTTATATACTTCAATGCCTGGAAGTTTGAAAAAGATCGGACAGACAGATACACACACACACACAGACAAAACGATTATCTCAGAATAGTGGTGGGAAAAACTAAGAATTCCTCTCAATTTTCAAATGAGATGATATTTCTGTGGAGGCGGTTGGCCGATTCACAAGTTTGAATGCATTTTCTGGGCCTATGAGCCAGGGGCTTTCTAGCGATACTTCATTCATATCAGATGCCCACTTCGAAAAAAATGTTTCGAAATTGCGTGTATATATAGGTGAGTTAGACTTTCAGCACTAGGGTGCTGTGATTTAAAACTCACGTCGAGACCAGAAAAAGTCATACTAAAAAGTCACACATAGTTACATAGTTTAAGTTTTTCATGGCTAATTGATACATTTATTTAACGGCTTTAATTTCCACTGCGTTTTGAGTGAGTGAAAAACTACATTGGCTCTCTAGGCGTGGATTGTATCAAACTGCCATAGTACACGGGCCATCTTAGCCTTGACCGGCCTTTGAAAAATCAAAAAATAGCTTCCCTTCCAATGGTCACTGTGCCAAAACCAGTCAATCAATTCCAGACTTTTAGGTATCGTTGGAAAGAGTTTGGGGCCAGCTATCAAATGACACCTATTTCAAATTAAAAAAAAAATGAGTTGGTCTTATGGGTAAAAAAACAGATGAAATTTGTGTGAAAAGTTAGTACGATTTTCGGAAAATTTAGTAGGATTTTCGGAAAGTTGAGTACGATTTTCGGAAAATTTAGTACGGTTTTTGTATGTTTTAGGACGATTTTTGGTTTACCCTTTTTGGGGCACCAAAAACATTTTTGGGCCCATTTTTGGCTGCGTGTTTTCTTTTTCAGATTATAAAAAAAAAAATCCCATGCTTGTGGTGCCCCCAAGAACGTGGTGCCCGAGGCAACTGCCTCATTTGCCATATGGCTAACTCGGCACTGGTCCACATACAAGAACTATCCACGGTTTCTTTCTTTTTTTTAAAGTTCGTCAATATTTATTTCTGATTACAATCTGAGCAAAACAAATTCGTATTATATATTTTTCTCACATTAGTTGTTTTTTTTTCCTTTTTCTTTTGGTACAATTTCTTTATAAGTGATTATACGATTGGCCAGAATTTGCTGGCACTGCGACTAAATGTATCTTATTGTACGGAGAAACGGTTGTTATTTTTGCCATGAACGAAAAAAAAACTCGAAAAAGTGAATGATTCCCGTTGTTAGCAGAACTGGGCATATGTCACACGAACTAATGAAGGGAACAATTTTGGTTGAACTAATTTTTTGCTCAAACTTATGTTAAAGTAATCGAAATATTGCAGTTGCATAAATGAAAAACAAATAATAAAGCGAACATATACAATTCAAGCCTTTCATTTCCATAATTTTTTTAATGGGTGATTTTTTTTTGTGCTGAAATCATTTCGATTGAGAGCTTGGGAAAACAAAAAAATATTAAGGGAACGTAATATGAATGATTGGATTGTTTGAAAAAAAAAGTTATTATGATTATATAGCGCTTGGATTCATTTTCGTTGACATTTCACCGCGAGCGCGTACATTTGACGTTTTTAAGCATTTTTATCTTCTTCCATTGGTGTATCTTGTTTGGATTCATCGGATTTCTCTTTCTTTTCCGCATTTTTGGCATTTGAGCTGCTTTTCTCGAGTGCTTTGACAAATTGCTCCAAGTCACCGGTATTCGCTGCAGCAATCGCTTCGGGATTCAATTGGAATTGCGATACGACTGGACCGAGTTGGCCGGACTGCAAAGCTGTCGAAAATGATGACAAAGCTTGTTGGAATTGCGGCGATTGAATTGTTTCTTTCAATTGAGTTTTGGCATTGTCCGACGATTCAACGGTTGGTAAATGCGCAACTAGTCTAGCTAAAGAGATTAGAAACGAAATTCGAATTTGTTTTTGGTCAATTTTTTTTGCTCAAAGGCATACGAACATGATTAAATTGCATTGAAAATATTTACTTCGTTCAGCTTCGCTTGAAGTGATTTTATCAAGAGCTTCGGAATTGATCGCACTAGCTAAATCGATGGATCGGCCACTGGCAGCAGTTCCATCGCCGCCACTTCCTTGCAAACCGGACAGGAAATTTTGCAGATCCGACAAAAGCACCTTTTGACCAGTACCTGAAGCAGTAGTGCCACCTTCACTCTCTTCCTGACCATTTCGTCGACTCGAGGCGGTTGTTGTCTTCTTCGGCGCTTGAGGTACCTGTGACATTCCAAATGTGTGCTCGTTAGTCTTTTTCGGGGATGCGTTGACAGGTCAGTTTAAAATAAGACGCCAAAATACTTACATTCGAGGCCAATGTTGATGTGGCTGGAGTAGTTGGTGAATTTGTACTGGCAGCAGTGGAGCTGGAGGTACGATTCCCTTGATTTCCTGATCGTGGTGTCGAGCTATCGGACGAACGGCTGCAAATTTTATACGAAATTTTAGATATATTTATTCGAAAATCGACAAATTTTGTTTTTCAAACAATCATGACTCACTTTATTGAGCCTAGAATATTACTGAGACCACCCATTTGGCCAACACCACCAAACAATTGCAACAATTGTTGTTGTGACATGTTATTCAGCATATACGATAGGTCATTTCCATCGTTGCTACTATTACCGCCGCTACGATTGGTCGATAGGCTGTTGACCGAGGGCGGATTATTCATGACTTCATTGATGCGACGACACCATTCTTCGTCTTTGTCCGGTTTTGGTTCTTGCATCCAGAAGAACAATCGGGCCGATGTTGATTTAAATTTCAGCAAATAGACACGGCCAGTTTTGCACTGTTCGACACGTTTGAATTCACAATCGTCCGGGAAAATGATCAGATCATCTTCGACTTTATTTGTCGTACGATTTTTCCAGCAAAAATGAATAAGACCATCATCAGCTTGGTACACATACAGCAAACCTTTGCGTGTATCAGGATGAACCATTTTGCCGACCATGGACATACGACCAGCACGGAATTCCACCAAGTGACGATTGCCGCCTGATGAACCCGGCAACGAACTGTTATTTCCTTTTTATTCAAAACGAAAAATTCAAATTAAATAAACTGTTTTTTTGTCCAACGAAATCATTGAATTTCGATTCAATTTCAATTTTTATACGTCGCACTTACCGAATATAGGACCAGCCATTTTATCTCTTTCTATTTAAAACACGAAATAAAAAACACTCTCGTCCAAATAATCTGAATCAATGTGCAGCGAATAACTATTTGGAGTGAAATGAACGACGAAATGTTCAGAACAAGGAATTTTGTTTATATTTTTCTTTTGTTTCGTTGTTCATTCAAGTAAAATGTGCCTAATTTTTCTTCGACTTTCTTTCAAAAATTGCAAATCATCGATGATATTTATTCGCTTTCATCCCAGAACCAATTCAACTATTCACCACCATTCAGCTGTCATTCTGTACTAAAATGACATAAACAAACGAACCGCAATGAACATCATCGAACGATACAGTGGTGAGGTGAATTCATATTGGTTATTTTTCGCTTGATTCGGGAGCGGTTTTTTGTAGGAAATGGGAAAAATCGTATTTTATTGAAATAATTATCGAATTTTTAGGTACTAAATGCACAAAATGGATTTATAGAGATTGAATTTATGCCTTTAAACGCATTTTTGATACTGAAAAAAATGCAAAATATGCGTACTGCCATCTAGTGGGGTAACATGGAACCACACATATAACTGGTATTTAAGACTCAAGAATTATCGTAGAAAATTTAAAAGAAAATAATTGTTTTTTTTTCTCTTAAATAAACAGTGAATGATTGAATTTGATGAAAGTTCCAGAACAAAAATTTGGAGAAAATAACCAAAATGGTTTAATTTGACTTGCAAAAGCTTCAATGTAAAAGTGGCCACTGATTTCCTTGTTGAAAGTTTACCAATATTTCAGAAGAAAAAAGTGACATAGTAAAGAAAATCTTTCGGGAATTTTAATTTGTTCACTGTATTTTATTAAATTTGTATTTACAAAATAAATCTGCTAATCATATATATTTGTAGATAAATTATATCAACTTATTCAGAAGGTTTTTTTTATTCAATATAATAATACTTATTTCAACTGATTCCTGTTTGGTAAACTAAGAAGAAGAAAAAACAGTGAAATATAAATCATCTTTTCTGAATCGAATGTAAATACAGTAAAAAGTCGATTCGATGACATTTCAGAGGCCGGCCCACATGTATGTTAATGTTGTACAATGCTTGCACTAATAACACCAGCCGAAAGTACGTAAAAGCCATAATTTGTTCAGGAAAAGCAATCGTTGTACAAAACATCAATAATTCAATTTTTTTAAAAAATAAATGTTACACTGTGTAAGTATGGACAAATGTGTAGCTTGACTCAGTGATGGCATTTAACGGTATATCCAATTTAAATGTTAGACACATTGAGTGATGCATTATATATATATATATATTTGCTCCAATTGAGCGGCTTCTCCATACGAATTTGGCCGAGTTCAAGTATCAATGAGAGTTTATCTAATGTTTTGTGGTAATGTTTTATCTAATGCGTATTTGAATGGACAAAGAGAAACAAATCAACAAGATGAACAAATAGCATTTAATTCTAGAACGCATGTTGCACGCATTTATGCTGGAAAACCGAAACATTATTATCACATTCAGAGAGAAATAAAGTCAATTGGTAAAAAATCTGCACATGCAATCTGATTGATCTAGATTTTGAGCGGCGTTCCACCTGTTCCTATCTTTGATTGGCTATTTTTTTGTATGTTTGTTGTTCGTAAAAGGTAAAATTTAAATAAGTTATGCCCTTAGCATTTAGGTTTTTATAACTAAAAATCGTCTTTTCCCATGACTTTGTCGATCCAAGGCACAAATTTCTGAATATTTGTATACACGCCGGGTACTGCGAAGGAAGAAAAATCAAATGTGTTGAAATACAATCACGAAAGCTATTTAAATTTTGCATTTTTTTTTCATGTACTTACAGTGTTCTCGACCGCATCCAATACCCCATGACACAAGGCCGATTAGGGTTTTGCGTCCATCTAATGACATTGTCAAGGGTCCCCCAGAATCACCCTGGCAACTGTCTCGTCCGCCCTGTTGACACAATATATCATCATCAGTTATTGAAAATTGAAAATATTGACGAAGTCAAATACGGTACCTCTTTGTATCCGGCGCAGAGAAAGACATCGTGTATTGTTTCTCGTCGGCCAGCTGCTCTAAACCATCGTTGGCATCGATCATTCGATATTACTTCTACATCAACTTCCTGTGAATTCATCATTGGAATTTATTTTAAATATTTTCCACCATCTCATTTATCTTTCTAGCTTTCAAATTGGAAAAAATAGAATCCTACCTGTAGAACAGATGGTACGGTACTTTGACCGTGTCGCGTACGACCCCATCCAGCGACGGTGGCTTTTTTGCCAACAAGTTTCGATGCTTTTGGTGGCAAACAAACGGGTAAAATGTGCTGTTTAAACACCACATTTCGATCGAGTTTCACTAATGCAACATCGTTCTGGAAATCCGTTGGCGAATAATTTGGGTGCACTTCTTTCCGTTCAATGCTGTACTCTTCGTGATTGAGTCGTTCTTCCTGATCTCTGACATCCCATTCGCCAAGTCGTACTTTCATATTGTTATTTGGAGTGGTGGCCACGCACTGTAAAGAATAATCAAATAATCAATCGATTAGAATACCACCACAGTTTGACTGATGAGTGCCAATTAAGTTTTCATGCATGTACTTACATGAGCAGCCGTAACTACCCATCGATTGGAGACCAATGCACCGCCACAGCTGAGTTTACGCGATAAAAATCCGGATTTAATCAGAGCCGCTTGCCATGGATGGCTTCCAAACGACGTTGAATGGCCGCCGACAATTCGATTGGCCCTTGTGTACAATTCGCCACAACCTATAGACAAAAATAGCCAATTGAAATTCGATTAATTCGAATGCATTTCGAACAGCGTTTCTATTTGCGCTGAGTGTGTGATTGAAGCGGTGACTTTTCGTTGTATAACGTGTGAAATTGAAAAAAAAGAAAAAGAAAACGGTGCTGATCAATTTAAAGCATTTTGCAAATTGTGTGTGAAGACGTGCGATTTCTACTTTTACTCTAGCGTGTTGGTTTTTTTTCTATTTGGTTTTGGTGTAATAGTGACGAGAAAGAAAATCAAATAAAACTACAGAGAAAAGTCTCCCGAAAAAAAAACAAAAGAAAGCTCAAGCGAACGAAGAGTATTTAAAATGTGCGAGAGACAAAGAGAGATACAGAGAGTGAGAGTGAGAGAGGCAAATACCCTGGAAGGGCCGATAATCGTCACCAGCATATGAGGTTGGTTTGTTATTGGAAAAGTCACCAAAATTATTTGTGTGACTGAATACAGCCGCTTCAGCTTCTGAGCCAAAACCGTCTTCGTCGACAATGCCAAAATGCTCGTCAGGATGAACTAATGGATAAAATGAAATGTGATTGGTTTCATGTTCCCAGCTTGGTTGTGGACGTTGGTGGTGTTGGTGTTGTTGGTGGTGGTTTTGTTGGTCATGTTGACTGAATGTATATGTATTGGTCGTTGAAGTGGTTGTAGGTTTGGCTGGTTGTGATGGTTTGGGATATGTGTTGTAAAATGGTTTATATGGACGGGGACGTTCGGTGGTGGTTGTTGTTGGATTTGGAGGATAATAGCCGAGTAAATGGATTACGTCACCTGGAATATTTTGGTTGTGTTTGTGTGAGTTGAGTTTTGGGAATTAATTGTTACTATCTTCGAATTAACATCGATTGGATTTTCGGTTTTCGCTAATGCATTCGCTAATCGATTTAAAATCTATTGCTGCACCATCATCACAGTCGATGCAATCTCCAATTTCGCGGTTAATTCACTTTATTGGTTGGGATTTTGTTGTTGTGTTTTTTTGGTTTTGTATTTCAACAAAGGAAAGGAATCATTTCTATGGATGTGATTTGTGTTTCTTTTCATCGAAATTTAGTCGCTAAAACTTATTATGTGACTAATTGAAACCGTTTCAATGAAACGTTTGGTTTCTTCTCTATTATTCAAAACGTTTAAAAGTTTTTGTTCGATAGCGACTGATGAGAGAATGAGACGTTGAATAAGGTAAAAAAACAGCTGAAATTAGTTAAAGTCTTATGTTATCTGATACAACACGTTTACTTTTTTTTCTTAGCTCACCCCGAAAATACAATGCAAAGAAATTACAATATCACTGAACTCTCGGTAATCATTCATTTCAATGTGTTTCTTCGGGATTGTAGAATTGTGTTCGTTCATCACAAATTCAATTGATTTCTTTTGCTTTTCACTTTTGTTCAGCGTGCACGCGCTTGCGCTCATGCTGCATGTTCAGTTCGGTTTCAATGCTGTTATTCATTCAAAGTGTGATGATCAATTTACACATTTTTCTCACATCAACACAACACATAAATAAAGCAATTGAACGAGACTCAAGGGAACAACATAAACGCCGATCGATGCAGTTTAAACGCTCTTTATTTCTCTCTTCTAATCGCAATAAATGGACGTTTATCGACCGTGTACACCAAAAGAAGAAAAAAACTTAATAATAACAACGAAAAGTGCACAATGTATTACCCCGAAAGCGGAATTGCGTGAACGTAAAATTCTTTGGTGATTCATTTTTTTCCTCGTTCGTTGTTGTTTTCACGTTTTGTTTTTGTTCACACTCTCTCTCGATTTGAATCGTTGAAAAGTTCGGACAAAATACTCGAGTGACGATTAGATTTTCTTCAGTTTTCTCTTCAATTGACCTAGTAATCCGAATTTCAATCAGATTAGGTCACAATCGCCGCCAATATTCGTAATAATTCGTTCATCAATTTTTCCACTAGCGGCACATGGAAGCTGCCACTACTGCCGCCGCACTCCAGTTTCACTTGCTTCCATTCTCTCAGAAACTTCTCTGTGCATCGACACCAACAACAATAGTAACGTCAGTAGTAGCAGCAACCAAATCCATTGGCACTTTCTTCAGCCTCATCGTAAAAGTCCACTCTTTCATGCCATATTTACTGAACGCTCGAATATGTCCATAAGAAAAATGAAATCACTTCAAACGCAATTTTTTTCTGTTTTCACGGACAAGAACCAAACTTATGAATGAAAGAGAAAAAACCGAGCATTTGAACAACGGTTACAAATTAGAGCACGTCACATTTGTTTCATTGAAAAACATCAAATTCTCACAGACTCTTGCTAGACCCATAAATCTTATAGATTCGTAAACATGCTCAACGACCACAAAATCGTTCAAAGTTCAAACGTGGAACTGTATTATCCTGCCAAGACTGTGGACGACGAATGGAATTGGAGATCAAATTATACTTACTCGCATTTTGTACCAATCCCTGCGATGATGATTCCTGATGCAGATCTTTGTCCACACAACACGACCATATCATGCCGCCCGAACATGAATCCACCGGTTTTCCGCCAGCCAACACGCATGATATGCTCAGTCCGCACTCGAAGCGTCTACCTTTGTATTTGCACGTTTGCGGTATCACTGGAAGTGCACGAACCGCAGCCGAAACATAAAAATAAAACGAGATGCGAAACAATCAAATTAAAAACAAAATACACAAATGGAAAAATTGTGATGTTGGAACAATGAACTTTAGATTAAAATTAATAAGACAAAGATAAAAGCAAAATTGAGACGCAATATAAAAATGTGGTAAATGGATTGATGGTGTCAGAGTTGCTAAATGAATTTGAAGAGAGTGAAAAAAAACGCTCACGCACACACACACAGAGACAAAATGTGCTAAGGGGAAAATGATCTTATATAATACGCTGTGGCTGTGTGTTGATTCATTTAATTCACGGCTCGTCTCGGAAACTTAATTTCACTTCCTGTCCACAGACAGAAAAGTCACCGCAAAGAAAGCAGTTTGAGAAAGTAACACTCAATTCAATTGGTGTGTGTGTGTGTGTGTGTTGTTTTTCTCTTCTTTTGGTTTCACGCTGTTTCGATGCGTTAACACAGTCCACATAATATGCACAGGGAGAGAGAGAGAGAAAGAGACATCGGGTCGATCTATTTGCGATACGATAATTTCCAATGGTCTAGTTATTTGTTTTACTTTTGGTTTTGCTAAATTTTGCGCATTTATATAATTCAAGCATTGAACTTGCCATCGCGACGTAGTGCAAAACAGTAGCCCAATAAATATTCGACCGATGATCTGCGAAAATGTTCGCCTTCAAACGATTCGCGCCCAGTCATTGTCGATCGAATGTATGCATATATGCAATCAGGCAATTGCAATTTTTTATTTATATGCTTTCATGGTACAGTAGTTTGAGTGTAACCACAGCCAATGCCACCAAGAAGAAAAATGAAAATAAAAGAAAAAGAGAAAGAAAAAAGAAATGCTGCCGCCACCGCTGCTTTTGCTGCTGCAAAGGAGTTGTGTGGACTTGCTTTGGTGAACATGGTGGCAAGTCAATCAGAAGATAATCGCCGTGCTATTATTCAATTTGTAACAAGTGAAATGAGAAAAAGTCAAGCATCTATAGAGATTTGTATTTTTTCTGTTATGTTGTCATTTTTCGGTGCAGATTGCATGCGAATGAAATAGAAATTACTTAATAAAACTAAATAGAAAAATTACACGATTTAAATTTTCTTGCACGCATAATAACCAAATGATTGTGTGCGCGCCTTTTGAATATATCAGACAAATGAAACAAAGCAATCAAAAGACACATCATGCGAGAGATGGACTCACAGAATTATGCACATTACGCACACCCAAAGCGCATGGAAATGAGAGGAAATCAACACACACACACACACACACACACACACACACCAGAAGAAATAGCAAAATTGCATAATGGATGATGGCAGAGAAGAAAAACCAAATTCACTCGCTCCATTTTCATTTGATTAACCATTCTTTGCATATTCATTTGAACCGAAATTCGAGTAACAAGTTCGAAGCATTGAATTGGAGTTGCTGGTTTTCTCATTGACAAAGAAACACACAAAAAAAGCGATATACACAGCGTGCGCAAATCACTGCGCCAGTATATCGCATCTGATGGGAAAATCACGGATGAGTGACGATTTCTTTCACTTCTTTCTACGTTATTATTAGTGTCTGTGTGGCATCAGCAGCAGCAGCCGCAAGTTTATTCGATCATAAAGCATTTCATTAACAGTGATGACAAACAAAAACAAAAGCATATGCTCCAGCAAATATTGTGAATTGTACACGTAACAAAACGTCAGCATACTTTCATAACTCTATAAAGCGTGTGTGCGTGCAGCGGTTTCATTCAAATTGAATTTGCGCGTGGATTTTTGTCTTTCTTTCTTTCGCGGCGGTTGCTGTTGCTTGTCCCAGGGCCCTCCAGCTCAACCGGAGAAAAGATTAATCGGCAAATAACCGACCGTGTGCTCGGGTGCATGATTTACATAATTTTCTTGAAATGCTTTTTTCTTCTTCTTCTTCGTCTTCATCATTTGTTCGCAAATGCCCATTCAAATGTCATGGTTACACATAAGAATGAATTACCGATGCGAACATAGTCTTATTTGTTTCATTTCCACGCAAATTTGTCTTCAATTAATAAATGCATATATATATATATATATATATATATGAGTTACATAAAATGTTTGTCTTCACTTTAAAAGTGGCTGAGAAAATTTTTATTGTTCGACGCATTGCATGGAATGAAATCGCAGGTGTTTGGTTCGACATTAGCATTGAACTGAGCGAGATTTTATGCTCATTTATAATAATCCATAAACTTGCTCATTGTAATGGAATATAGCTCATAATCGACCCATTGCAAAGGGAAAAAACAGTTACTAGCTTTTGTGCTCATGGATTGACCTCACTCTAAAATTAATTTAAGGACATTCAGAAAATATCGCCTCTAAAACACATTCGACTGATGACTCTTCCATAAAAACTACACTTCTCCATCATAGAAAAAGCGTGATCTTCTGATCACACACATGATATGCCCCGTGGAAAATGCCCGTTTCGTTGTCAATTGAAAGTGGCAAAAAAAAGTTCAACACTTTTTGCACGCTTTGATCATGACACCTGGAATCGTCGCACAAGTATCGGTTTCTGTTTCGGTTTTTTTTCTATCTTTTTTTCTCTCTTCAGATCAGTAACGGGTTTCAGATCAAAGATTCGTTTGTATACCCGTAATTTCTGACTTTTTTGACCTGTCGATCTCGCGAAATTCAACACGCGACAAGAGTCCACTGTGACATTCATATTTTCGGTGTTGAGCGTATCAATATGCACGATAGCAGGTATACATACTTCGGCCCAAGATATCCATCAGCGAATTCGATGTACCATAGTAGCTAGGCTGTCGTTTGCTCAGTGCCTCGAGCAGAAGTAGCTCTTGCTCTTGTTGTATCGATGGTCCGGCGATCACAACACTGAACTTGAGACATGCATTCAAACACAATAGAAATATCACAGATTTTATTTGAAAAATTTTATGATCTACTGAGAAATGGAATTTTAATATATCAGGCACTATTATGAACATTGTTGCTAATTTTTTTTTAAATAACACTTTACACGCGTGCTCATACACGATTCGCCTTCCAAAAAATGAACGATAACACGGATCCGATGTAAAACGGGACTAAAATCCACAATCGATTCGATTCAACCCTGAATGAGCAACTAACACCAAACAGATCGATTTTCGTATCTCATTTCATTAGCCACTACTCATTGCAATGCTCATTCAAATACGAAAAAAAAACGAAGGAAATATTTTCCGAGCTGAAAAGTCGTTTGCAAAAATCCAGCAATTTGCACTTTTCACGATCAACTGCGAAATTGTGTGCCAAAAAAATCGAAAATTCACACGAAAAATTCGTTGGCAAAAATATGGTGTAGAATAGTCGCGTAATCCGTTATTTATCGCCTTCGTCGATGATGAACTTTCTCAATAAACTTTGTACACTTGACACACGAACTGAGTCTCAAACAAATGCTGTCCGATATAAACAAAGAAACGAAAGCGAAACCAACGACGACACAAATTTATCATCTGAACTATTCGGTTTCACGGTTTCATATCAACTGAATTCAGCGTGAATCCACGGCAAGTAAATGTGTTTTAGTAGTTGGTGATGGGATGCAGTGCACCTTTAATAGCACTCATTCTGCTTGGTCGTTTTACTCTTGCTCTTTCTCTCTCTCTCGCTCCGCGCTGCTGCTAAAAAGTGAATTTTTCGACGTAAAAATGTGTATAGAAAAATGAAAAAAATAAAAGAAATAAAACAACAACACCACCACTGGCGCACGAAGCATGTGCGCCCGTGAGTTCATTGTGTTTTTCTTTTGCTTATTTTGTTTCGTCTATTTCGTGTGTCGTTACCCGACAGTGCACGCGCGCGTTCATAAGAAATGTTGAGCCGCTTCTACGGCCACAGCAGCGGCGCGAAGAAAACGGCCTTAGAAGAGAAGCAAATCGATAGAGAGAAAAACGAAGAAGAAAAGAAAAAAAAACAATAAACTGAAGGCGACAGAGAGGAAAATCCAATGCTATGATGGTGTGTGCTTTCCATTTAGTTTATTATATTGTTGACATACCATGAATCGTTGTGGTGGTCTTTTGCACGCCATGTTTATTGCTGTTGTGGTTTGCTTCGATTGCCGAAGGAAACTCACACACACACCAGCCTATGTCATATATCGAGATGAATTTGACCAGAAAACCGATAGAGATAATTATCGTCAACGTCGTTCGAAAGGAAAGTGAAATTTTCTTTATGTTGTACCGCGCACGCGCTTATCTGTCTCTCTCGCGCCGCATGAATTGAGAGCAATTCAAACATCGTAATTATATTCTCTGAGATTAACAATAATCCTGATTTATTTACGATTCCTACCAAACCAAAATGATTCAAGTTCAATGTGCTTGCGATAGTAGATCAATTGGAATATGGTAATTATTGAACACTGAACCGTCCGATCCTTCACAGTGTGATCAATGCAAACAGTTTTCCATGCAAACATTCACATTATATGATCTTTACGGTCTTTTGAACAATTCTAAGTTCGTTTCGATTTCATCGAAGTCAAGCATCGTCCAAACGTAAAATTGTCATTTTCCAACGACGAAAAAAAATCGAAAGTCTGAAAATTAGTTTTGAACTAGGTTTTGAACGGGCGCATCACATATCTGTCAAGATTGTAATACTTTATGGCTGAACAAATTATAGGCTTTCAAATGATTGCTTATCGTCTAACTAAATATGGGATCTCTCATCTGAATATGGTTGCAAAGCAGAAAATTATTTCAATTATATGTATGTAAGTGTGTGTTTTTTTTCGTTCATTATCATTTTATCGAAACGCTCATCCGTGTAACGGATCAAAACATAGTCAGGGGGACGAGAGAGTCGCCGACAGCATAGCATCGTCACAATCGGTTGTGTCGCATATATTTAACATTTTAATTAATATGTATGTAGCGCGCACTGATTCGATATGAGGCTTTACCAAGTGGGTCGTGTCAAGATCACATCTCTTTTTTGCGAACTTTAATTTGTCACTCGAATTGTGTCTAATTTTTCTTATTACAAAAAAAAACAGCAGCACCACCAAACGTGCACACGAATCGAACGGTGAGTTGTAAGATGAAATTTGCGCGCGCGTCGCGTATTTTCACCGAAAAGCACAATAAACATATAGAAATAATTACGATCATTTGATATTCAAATATGATTTCAGTGTTGAGTGTGTGTGTGTGTTTCATACGAAACAGAATGAATATACATTTGACACAGTGTTGACGAAATGATGACACCTAGCGAGAATGATCAGTTTACCGAAAATTGCTCGGTGAGACTTGAGATGACGAAAATGACGATTCATATAAAAATTCGATGATTGTGACAGAAAACAAAGTGTTGCTGCGACAAACAGCAGAGAGAAAAAATCATAACCGAAGAAGTCATTCGATCTGTAAGTGCGTGCGTAACCCGTGTGGAAAATTTTTGACTGACTATTCAGTCGATTAATTTGGGACATTTTGACTGACCAAAAGTGATTGTCTCGAACAAAATAAGCAACTGCAGTTAACTTTAATCGCAAATCACTCTTAGTCAAAATGTCCCAAATTAGTCGACTGACTGAAAGAATAACTAACGTGATTGTCTCCATACAAAACGCATGATTTCAATCAACCTAGCCAGTTTTAGTTGTGTATCACTCATACAGTTACATACAACTGAGTGACTGTTAGTCATTTTATTTGCACACGGGAAACGCTTAATGCATATCAACCGACATTCTTCGATATGAAACGATGTAATGCTGTACCGTCGCCGCCGTCGTCGTTGAGAGAAAAAGAAAGAAATGTACAATGAAAAGAGAAATGAAAAGAATAAGACAAACGGAAGAAAGAAGAAAAGTCTTTACGAATATATAATTACATGGTTCGTGTAAACGGCGGCAGCCGCAATGCCAAGATAATTTCAAGTAAAAGTTGTGTTCAGAGCGATAAAATGTTTATTGCAAGCACCCAAGAGAAATACGATCTTTGGTTCACATTGAATGGCCACCATCACCGCAAGCAGCAACAACAGTAGCTATTGCTGTTGGCTGGGCTGTTTCTAAGATACACGAAATAACCTCGGATACGAAACCAGAAATCTAATTCTAATGAAAACTTTTCGCTCAGACCACCGGGTCAGAGTATGCTTTGGCTGCATTTTGCTGCTTTGACATGCGAATAAAAAGAAAACTCAACATTTTGTTTGTGCTGTGTATTGTCTGCGGATCGTGCAAGGGAATGCACGACAGGAACGACATTGCTGGTGGTTTGCCCGTAAAACAAAAAGAAAAATTTCTCGCACGTTCCTCGTCGTCTAACGTGTATTCGCCATTAATTAAGTTCGGAATGAACGAAGAAGAAGAAGAGGAAAAAACGAACAATGAAATGCTTAGTTTGTGTTCAAGAAGATAAACCCATCACTTTGCTCGCGCTCTCGTTTCTAAACGACTTAAGTCATCATTAAACAACTAATTTTGTAAAGAAAATAAACGCACCCAGTGAAAAAAAAAACACAACACCGCATAGTAGATGGCAATCGCAAAAATTTTGTTGTGTTCACAAAAACAAATCATATCACGTATTTTAGTACCAAGTTTTTGGTTTTTGGTGTTGTTTTTCTTCTGAAATTCGTACGACGACGACGACGGCGGCGAATGGCCAGAATACCAATTATTCAAAGTGGAGAGAATTCGTCTGTCTGACTAAATAGAAACTTTTGCTTCATGGACTAAATACTTTGACATGATTTCATGTGATAAGATGAGCGAAGGTGATGATATGATCTTGGTTGACTTTTATTTTTACTTTTTTTTTCGGTTTCTGTGCATCCAAATTTCGATTTCTAATTCGTGTCAACTCTGAATTTGATTTCGATGACACTCAGCTGGGCTGATGTGTGACAGATTGTGTACTTACATTCAAATTCGTCAAAAAATTTCGGCTCCTTTTGCATGACATCGGCCAATACGGCTGCATCGGTGTCGTTGAGTTTGGCGATGATTTCGTTTTTGATTGGATTTTCAATTGGTTTTGCACCAATTGGATCCAATTGCTGTTGCTTGGTGTGGTTTGGGTCATTCTGATAGCTTTTACCAAAACATATGCAAATGCAAACGCTTGATAGCACGGCAAATCGTAGCATAATGTTTGTTTTATTCGTGTTAACCGTGTCACTTCAAATGTTTATTCTCTATTTCGTTAAATTACCGAATAAATTAATTGAAGATAGCCGTCACAAACTAGTTGGATAAGGTACGAAATAGAAATCTATGTTTCTCTGTATGTCTAAATATCGTAATGAGTTGAGATCAGTCGGTTACTCGGCTGCAGTTTCTACGGAAATAAGATCAACATAATTCTGTGTCGTGTCTGAAATGGTCGGAGAAGGCATCGATGACATCGGAATTCTTCCCATTGGTGTTGTGGTTTCGATTTCGAAATGCAATTCTGTCGAAATCGTCATTCGATTTGTTTTTTTTTTGTTGTTGGAAGATGGAATATTTTTCTCTTCTTTCTCGCTTGTTGTTGTCTTTCGTTTTCGTTGGCTGTTGCTGTTGAGCAATAGACACACACTTGTCGAACGCGCGCGCACGGTTCAACTATCAGCGAACGCCACACACGTATCAAAACGGCAAAAACATAATTTCACTTTCTAAGTTGATTGAAACGAGATTTCTTCGGGCGAAGAAGGTGCGCGCACGCGCTCGTTTGGGCTCTGTATGTGAATCGCTTGGACGTGTTTGGATTACGCTAAATGCACACATGTATCGTCTCTCTTCATCGTTGTTGTTGTTGTTGCTTTTTTTATTTTTCAATGCTAAATGCTCTCTACGCTTGGAAAGCAGATTCGATGTGTGGGTACAAACGCTGCGCGTAGTTTTTTTCTTCTCTTCACTATATTTTCCTTTGTTGCTGGCTGGCTGGCTGTTGTTGTTGTTTCTATCTATTTATTTTCGCGAATATTATTTTTGTAACACACTAACATCAAAACGTATTTTTAGGAAATGGTGAGAAGTGAACAAGAAAACAGCGCGCGCGAAAAAAAAACACACGCAAAAACAAAAGCAACAACAAACAAAAATCATAAAAATGCGCTGAAGCGAATGATGGTTGAATGTAAAATTCTTCGGGAGTGCAAACAAGCTCAAGTTTTGCTCAAGTTTTGCTCAAGTCTATTAACATTTTTCTGGTGCTAGCGATGCCATTGAAATATTTGAATTTCGCGGTAAACTGAGCACACACACACACACACACACACACACTATGTTTTTGCTTCTACTCTGAACTAGGCAGGCCTTGCATAGTTTATCAATCAAAAATTGGTCTATTGCTACACATACAACTGCACACCGTTGATTAATTTGTTTTTCATGCAACCCGTCTTACGATACGTGGATTGTAGATGCAAGGGCAATGCCAAGCTGCAGTTCAATATCTCGCAGAGTGTTGGTGTTGTTGTTTTTTGCCGTTGCTGTTGCTGCTGCTGCTGCAATTGTGTATGGAATTTTTCCGCATTCAACAACTAGCACCG